TTTGTGGGTTGAGTGTGGGGGGGAATGGAGTGTGTGCGTGTGTGTGTTTTTCACACTGCAGGTGAACCTGCCACACTGTAGACTCGCACACACTCGCACGTGGTAGACAGTCAATGTCACCTCCGGTATAGTGATAAAACCAGTAGTTATCCTGGGGCAGTAACTTGAAAGAAATTCTACAATTTGCATGTTAATCACTTGAAACCTGCATCTCCTTTCTAAGATTAAAGATTTAACAGCCGTCTTAGGTTTGTTCCTTACATTAGCATCAGTTCTATGACCCTTTGATCTTTTGCTTAGAAATTCTGTGTCTGATGCTGCCTCTCTCACTAACACCTAAAGGAGGAGCGAGGCTCCGAAAGCTTGTGTTTTCAAATAAAACTGTCGGACTATAACCTGGTGTTGTGATTTTTGCCCTTGTCCAACACCACCACCACATCATGAACAAGATTAGACAATTTAACCCCTCAATTACTCTGTTGCCATTCAATGAGATCATCGAATGATCTGCAATCTCACTAATTATGTGCTTTTACATTCATTTAACCAAAATTTATCAGTCCCACCCTTAAAATTAACTGCTGCACTTAAGTCTATTCCATTGGTTGAAAGGATTTCCAAACTTGCCTCACTTTCTTATATGTAAAAGTGTTCCTTCACCTGGATAAGTGGACCATTACAGAATTTTTCAAGAAGTCGTTGCTGTTACAAAGATTGGTAGAAAAGCAAGTTCTAAGGAGGATGCAAAGAGTGTGAATAGATGAGTGAGCAGAAATTTGGCAGATGGGGTATAATGTAGGAAACACTTTGATAGGAAACCTAGCAAAGTAGAATGTTATTTGAGTAGAACAAACTGCCGAATGCTTCTATAGGGAGAGATCTGGGTGTACATGAATCACAAAACTTAAGCATGCAGGAACAGCAATCAATTAAGGCAAATGGAATGTTGGCCTTTGTTGCAACGGGGTGGATTGTTAAAGTAGGGCTGTTTTAAATCTGTACAGAACATTAAGTCCACGCCTAATATATAATTTTGTTTTCCTTGTTTAAGAGCAAATACTTGCTTTGAAAGTAGTTCATAGAAGGTTCACTATGTTGATTCCTGGGAGGAAAGGATTGTCTCATGTGAAAAGGCTTTTACATATTTAATGATTAAAATGAGCAGTGATCTTGTTGAACCAGATACAGTTTTGAGGAGATAGCAAGAACTGCAGTTTCTGGAGTCAAGAGTCAATACAGTGTGGAGCTGGAGGAACACAGCAGGCCAGGCAGCATTTGAAGAAGGGTCCCGACCTGAAACGTCAACTTTCCTGCTCCTCTGATGCTGCCTAGCCTGTTGCCTTCCTCCAGCTCCACATTGTATTGACTACAGTTTTGACGATTTACTTCATGTACGTTATCTCTATTCTCTGGCTGCTCATGCTCAGCTGTGCCCTGACGGGGTCGATAACCTCTCTGTCCTCCCCTCCCCAGCAGTTCTTCAAACTCTTACGTCACTTTTTGCTTTACAAAGTGAGGCCATGGGAGAATTTCACATCAGGATGAGAATCTTAAAATTGAAATCGCTGGATCTACCTTGTATCTGAACCTCTGAGTTAAATGAATACTTTGAATGCATTACATTTATTTGCCAATGTCTGTATAATCACCTGATGCAAAGCAATATTGCTGCTAACCAGTGCCATTTTGACGCTTAGGAAGCAAACAGCAGCCACAGATTTCCACCCACCTCCTGTCTAATCTGGTTTTACAGATTGCCCTGTTGCATAATGACTAAGAGGATAAACTAATGATCATACCTCCCATTGCAGAGGGAAGTTAGCCACTTGTTGATTTGCAGAGTGTACTGCAACCATTTTAATTTAGTTCTGGTCTCTGCATCTACTCTGATGTGTGCCATGCATCCTCTCATGTACTGCCTGATGTAAGGAAGCATGAATGCCAAGAAAGGCTTCATAAGTTGTCTTTTTTTTCCACTGGTACAATGGAGGCAATGAAGCAATACAATGCAAGTATTTGAATTATGAAACCACAGGCTAGATAAAGCAAGAAAACCAAAGACAATGCGTATCTTAAATAAGAAATCAGAACAAAAGAGATTCGAGGGCAGCTCACCAACTTGAGGACAGTAGGGAATGCTGACTCAGCTGAAACAGCACCTCCGCCCTGTTTACAAAGAACTTCAAAAACTGAAACGGGGCCACAAGGATCAGTGAGGAAAGAAACAATCTTAGTATTTGGTCAATGACCTTTCGTCACAAGTTGAAAGTGGTAGGAAGTTAAACGTGTTTTTTTAGCTAGCACAAGCCCAAAGCAAATGGGGAAATGAAGGAAGGAACAGTTTGTGATCAGATGGAGTGAGGTGTTGCGGAAGTGATTCGTGGAAACCAGGTTTAGAATGACGGTAGAAACAGAAGCTGGTCCACAGGAAGTGTTAACTGGTTGCAGCAACACAGCAGGTAAGAAGGGAGGCCTTGAGAAGCTGGCAAGAAGGTGTAGTAACCCAGGGCCTGGCTATATGATGGACAATTATAGGTAATCCCCAAATGTGCAGCACACATCTGCTATTTTTTGATAACTAACACATTCTGAGCACCAGCCCATTCTTTCACCACTCTACACTCAAGTGAAGCCATCCTCCTTTTACCAGCACAAGCTGGACAATATGGAAGAAGTTGTGTGGAAGCAGAATGTTTCCAGTCATTCAGGGGGCCATTAACACATGATTAGGTGTAGAATATTTGAAACAGAGGTCAGGAGAAACTTCTTCATGTAGAGAATTGAGTCTGCAAAGAGAAATGGTTAATAAACTTGTTGTGCCCACCTCCCAGAAAAGAAATCTACAGAGGAAGTTCCATCTTGGAAAGCTGCCAGCCAATCTGGTCTGTCACTTGATGGCCTCAGTCAGCCTGAGAGTGTGGAATGGCAACAGGTCACAAATCTGTAACGTTAACTCGGTTTCTCTCTACATTCTCGCAGCTGTTAAAGCTGCTAAGCACTTTCTATTTTTAATTCAGGCTTCCAGCATCCCCAGTATTTTGCTTTAGACTACAGTAATTCAAGTCCAAGTTGGATTCTGAAACTGCGTTAGTGGTCAAAGACTGATTGGTGAGGTGGTTTGTGTGGTCTGAGTTCGTGATGGGTTCAAACTATTTGATCTCATGCTAGATAAATAGCAAACTGATAAGCCAAATGGCCTGATGTGTTTTAACTTCTATTTATTATGGACCCAAGTGAGATGACACAAATGTAGAAATGAGTAATTTTGTAACCAAAAGGACACTGGATGGATGCTGTTTTGAATTGATTAAATATATCTTCAAACAGTCTTTGGAATTCTTTCAACATTTCTGAGTGGTAGCCATTTCCCTTTCTCTTGTAGTTGACTTTGGCGTGAGCGCTCAACTCGACCGAACTGTTGGAAGAAGGAATACGTTCATTGGCACCCCATATTGGATGGCCCCTGAAGTGATCGCTTGTGACGAGAACCCAGATGCCACCTATGATTACAGGGTATGTGAAAATGGACTCGGGACTGGGAAAGAAGTTAGATCAGTTCGTGATGGACAGATAGCAGCACAGGCGATCACTCTGCCTCTGTGACCATGCCAGTCAAGCTCTGCAACTTGCCAAAAGTATTTGGCTACAGAGTGGGAGGAGGTGGGTTCTCGCCATCAACCCTTAAGTAGTCAGAAACTATAGAATAACTATACAAAAAGGAAAAGACAATGAAAGAAGTACGTGCACTCAAAGTAAAAATTGTTTTCCATAGTCTGGGCAAACTGGAAACTGAAGCGCTATTCCTTATTTGGGTCAGGTCCTCTAAATACTTAAAGGCAAGAATACATATAAATATTATTTAACTAACAGTGCTGTATTCGTTTGTAATTTTAATATAGTTTCAGTTTACTCTTAAAGATTCTGTTCAATACTTCCCAATTACCTGCTGAATTTGGTTCTGCAAGATGTTGAGTGTTTTTAACCTGATTACTTAGCCTCTAATGAATATTAGTGATGCAAGTGGCAATGCAATTCAGCTTTTGGCCAGCGAACGTCTTTCTTGAATTCAGTATATTTTTTTAAAAAGAAACATGAATGATGCAGCAAAGTAGCAGGGCATTTGACCTGTCATACCTATGTGTGGTGATACAGTAATCTTTCCAAGAAATGTTGCCCCACACTCCAGGATTTAGTCAATGCTGCCTAATTGCTTTGCTTGTCTTTGAATTGCAGAGAAACAGTGACTTTGTTTTAGTCCCTAAAATCATTGCTGTTTGCTCGTTGGTGAATGTGGGCGTGAGTGTTCATCAGGTTCCCAGGCAATACGCCCACATCTGGACTTAAAGCCATCTCAGCACTCCTGATTTTCAAAGCTTCAATCTTTTGATTAACCTAAATTTTAAACAAGTCATGTTGAGAATCTTGATTTAACAAAGCAAACGAATTGAGCCCTTCTATAATTTATTGTAATGAGTTTATTGGAGAGGATTCTTAGGGATAGGATTTATACTCATTTGGAAAAGCATGGTCCAATTAGGGACAGTCAGCATGGTTTTGTGCGAGACAGATCAGGTCTTATTAACTTGTTTGATTTTCTTGCGGAGATGAGGGTATCTGTCGTGATTGGAACCAGGTAGACCCTGTTGACTACAAGATTCCTGATTGGGGTTGTTAATCTACACCAATCAGGAACCTTGTAGTCAATGAGGTCCACCCGGTTCCAATCACTACATTATCGATGAGGGTAGAGCAGAGGATGTTGTTTACATGGATTTTTGTAAGGTTTTCGACAAGGTCACTCATGATAGGCTCATCTAGAAGATTAAAATTCATGGGATCCACAGTGACTTGACAATGTGGCTTACCCATAGAAGGGAGAGGGTAGTGGTGGAAGGGTGTTTTTCTGGCTGGAGGACTGTGACTAGTGGTGTTCCACAGGGATCTGTACTGGGACCTCTGCTGTTTGTGATTTATCTAAATGACTTGGATGAAAATGTCGATGGGTTGGGTTAGTAAGTTTGCAGAAGACACAAAGATTGGTGGAGTTGTGCATAGTGTAGAAGTTTGTCAAAGGATACAGCAGGATATAGATCAGTTGCAGATATGGGTGGAAAATGGCAGATGGAATTTAATCTGGGCAAGTGTGAGGTCTTTGGGAGATTTAATGTTAGGGGAAAGTGTACAGTTAATGGCAGGACTGTGAACAGCATTGACATGTCCATATCTCCCTGAAAGCGGCCACATAAGTACATAGGGTAGTAAGGAAAGCAGGCATGCTTACTTTTATTGGTAGGGTCATTGATTGCAAGAGTCAGGAAGTGATGTTGCAACTTCATAAAAGTTTGGTCAGGCCACACTTAGAGTATTGCATTCATTTCTGTTCACCACACTACAGGAAGTATGTGGAGGCTTTGTGGAGAGTGTAGAAGAGGTTTACCAGGATGCTGGCTGGATTAGAGGGGATGAGCTATGAGGAGAGACTGGACAGACTAGGGTTGTTTTCTCTGGAGTGGTGGAGGCTAAGTGGAGACCCGATAGATGTTTATAAAATTGAGAGGCATAGATAGGGTTGACAGTCAGAATTTTTTTCCCAGATTGAAGTGTCTAATACTAGGCAGCATGCATTTAAGGTGGGAGGAGGCAAGTTCAAAGGAGATGTGGGGGCAGGTTTTTTTTACACCGAGTCGTGCATGGAACGTGCTGCCAGGGGTAGTGGTGGAGGCAAATACAGTAGGGGCATTTAAGGGACTTTTAGGTAAGTGCATGAATATGCAAGGAAATGGACCAAGGACAGGCAGAGGGGATTAGTTTAATTTGACGTCATGTTCACCACAACACCATGGCTATACTGTTCTATGTTCTATGACACTGGGTCTATACTGAATGGAGCTTAAAAGGGTGGGGTGAATCTAACTGGAACTTGGAATACTGAGAGGCCTGGAGAGAATGGACATGGAGAAGACGTTTCCGTTAGTAGGAGAGACTAGGACGCAATGGCACAGTCTCAGAGTGAAGGGGTGACCCTTTCAGAACGGAGATGAGGAATTTTGCTCAGCCAGAGGGTCGTGACTCTGTAGAACTTAATGCCAGGAGTGTACTTTGGAGGCCAAGTTTTTGAGTGTATTTAGGAGATAGATAGATAGGTTCTTGATTGGTAAGGGGATCAAAGAAATAAGGGAGAAGGCAGGAGAATGGGATTGAGAATCACATCAGCCATGATCGAATGGCAAAGCAGACTCGATGGGGTGAATGGCTGAATTCTGCACCATATCTTATGGCCTGAAAAAATGAATATGCCTTTTGATGAATTTTGTAATTTGAGTGTCCCAGAGAGAATGGCGGCCAACTTGATTCTGTTTTTAAAAAAAAAAAGTCAAATTTTTAAGTCATGTTGATTGTTGTATAAAAAGTGACTAGGACTTTTGGGTGAAGTCCCTACTTCAAGATAGTCCCAGGGTTTGGCAGATAGGTAGTAGACTGACACAGTTTCACAGTGCAGCTGAAAGATGACCTCTGACAAGGCAACACTCCATTGGTACTGCACTACTGCCAGCCTAGATTATGTGCTTAAGTGGGTCGAGTGGGTATTGAACCTATGATCCTTTGACTTGGAGGTGAGAGTGCTACCCAATGAACCACAGTTTGACTGCATTCCACTAGTGCTTATACTGCAAACAATTTTTGGCTTTGAAGAGTTTTGGAGTCCAGGAATTGTAGAAGTAGCTACATAAATCTGATCTATGGGGAAATGGTGGTGCCTTGGTGATGTCACTCGGAGTGTAATTGAAAGGATCCAGACTAATGCTCTGGGGACATTGGTTCATTTCCCACCAATGCAGCTGGTAGAGTTTGAATTTGATGAATAAATCTGGAATTAAACACTGTTCTCAAACATGGTGACCATAAAACTGTCATCAATTGTCTTAGTGAACTACCTGGTTCACTAATGCCCTTTAGGGAAGGAGATTTGCTGTCCTTAATTGGTGTGGCGTACTTGTGACTGGACACCCACGTCCAGAGGCTGACTCTGTGAAATAGCCTAGCATGTCACTGTGTTCTAGGGCTATTAGAAATAGGCAACAAGTATTGCTGTTCTCAACGACGTCCATATTGCATGAAAAGTATGCAAGCTTGGTTGTTTTCTCTCCATTTCTCTCTACCTTTCTCCATTTCTTTAAGTTTTAAATGTAATGTAATCCTTACCTTTCAATTGTTAATACATTAATGACATTTTCATCCTAAACGCTAAGTTATAGGACAGCATTGCTCTGACAGAATTGGGTTAATGAAGCAAGCAGATATTTTGACCTCTTTAACTTGATTGATTGGTTTTGTTGCAGAGTGATATTTGGTCTTTGGGGATTACTGCAATCGAAATGGCAGAAGGCGCACCACGTAAGTTTTACTTTCACCATGTTTGTTGAAGGATAGGGTTAGCGAAACAAAAGATGCCCTTCTACTGACTGCCCGAAGTCGAACCTATAACCGAGATGACTGGATTTCATTAATGGTTCCTTTTATTTATTATCACTGTGCAACTAATGAAAATTCCTGTGATCGATTTTAGCTGTTGCTGTGGGATTGGTGCAAAGATTGGCAAAGTCTAGCTCTGCTCATTAAACTCAAATTCAATTTGGAGCATCAGCCTGGTGGCCTGTCCAGTTTAATCCAATACTACCGCACATGGTGTGGACTAACACTCCGAGGATTAACATTCCATGAATTTCCACCACCGCCAGTGTGTCTCAGACTTGACCTTAAGCTGTGCGCAGTTCCTGAGCAATCCACGATCTCCAGGGATTTGCATTCTGCCCCGTGATGCAGCTTGAAAATAGCTTTATTTGGCCTGGTCCTATTTATCCTTTCTTTTAATCTTTTTCTCCCATTTTCTTTAATTTTGAAAGAATTTTCTTTTAAATCCTGAATCTTTTCCTTTACCTCTCTCCAGCTTGCTTACTTTTTTTGCCCCCATCAAAAGCATCATCTTTCACTGCCTGCTTCCTTGTGGTGCATATTGCCATATTGGAGGGTGGAGCAGTTTTGAAAAAGTTGGCAATTCGTTGGGCTTTAAAGTTGCTCCTGCTGCAAATGAATGTGTATAAAATTTATGTGGTCAGACAAAGCTTCACTGCTGTGTTGTCTTTAATGTGTGTGAAGGACCAAACAATAAGGAGTGACCCATTTGGCTGTTTGAGTCTGATCTGCTGTTTAATATCTGCGATTGAGTCCCTTGAACTGTTTCTCCCATTCATGACTGACTCATAACTACTTTTTTTTTTACATGTCCTGGTTCCTCAATATCTTTGTTTTAGAAAAATCTATCAATTGTGAATTTGAAATTTTCCCCACATCCTGGACAGCATTTTCTCTAGGGCGCAGCATTCTGGAGCTCCACTCCACTGTGGGCACAGAATTGCCATCTGGGAGCATCTGGTCTGGAAGCAGAGCTCAAGTTTCGAGTCCAATGTGATTCCTCTTCAGAACCGCTTCCTGACATCACCCTTGAACAGCTGACTTCTAAGCCTGTGCTCCTTTTTACCCACCAGAGGAAATATCTCCCTTATCAACACATTTCTTAATTTGATTAGATCTCCCTTAAGTTCAAAACCATACAAGCCAGTCAGTGCAACATGTCCTCACAATTTAACCCTATTTCCCCAAGTACCATTTCTGCTGAATATGTACGACACCTCCTCAAAAGCCAATCATTCTTCCTGAGATGCGATGTCCAGAACTGATTTGTGACATTAAATAGGCTAGAACCAGAACTTTATAAGAAACATGTATCCTGTCCTTCACTTTATATTTAATTCCCCTGAGATAAAGACCAACATTGCACTAGTATTTTTAATTATTTGTTGATCATACCAAGCCAGAAAGGTCTGCTGGGCACAAGTCAATTGAAGAGTTCCAAATTGAGCAACATGCAATTCATTGTGCCACTCAAAAGTGTCAAAAGAAGTGTGAGTACATCTGAAGACATTAATGCAAATAATCAACATTTAATCTGTTTTGTGTTGTAAATAATTAGCGAATTTCCAGAGCAGTTTGCTTATTACGTTCTATGGCAAGCATTTTCTGTTTTATGTTCCGCAAGTGTTGAGTGTAAATCAGACAACACCATTCTATTTTGGTTATGTTGCTGCACCAGTAACACAAGCTTCATGGGGCTGCAGACACACATTCAAATCCCACAGAAGAAGCTGAGAAATTTAAAACAATATCAATTAATTGAATAAATATGGACTCAAGCTAGTAGCAGTATTCGTAGCCCTGGAGCACGCAGATTGAGGTCTAGACCCGAAACGTCAGCTTTTCTGCTCCTCTGATGCTGCTTGACCTGCTGTGTTCATCCAGCTCTACACCTTGTTATCTGAGATACAAACCCATCTTGTTTAGTCATGCCCTTTCAGAGAAAGTGTGCCATCTTTAGCTAGTCTGGTCTACAACTGACTCCACACTCTTAACCACCATCTGAAATGACCCAGCAAACCATTTAATTGTGGAGGAGATGCTGGCTTATCAGCTCCTCAAGGACAATTATAGACGGGCTGTAAATACTGGCCTTTCCAGGCATGCTCCCATGCTGTGAATTAACGATTTTAAAAATAACCTGAGCAAAGAGTGCTAGAGAAATAAATGGCGAAGCTCTTGTTTTGCTGTGTCATACATTGGATATTGGGTTGGGGTGAGGGGAGAGGTGACAAAGAAGTTGGTATTGAGGAAGGTCATTTCATGGTTGGCCAAGTGCCTTGCTGCATTGAGTAGTGGGCCAAAACATTTCTCATTTCTGTCATGTCATCATTTTACCAAGGTGGTTCAAGCCTAGCACCTGGGGAGCCAAACACTGAAAATTAAACATGACTTTATAAGAGGATACGTGATTAAGTATGTAAATATTGTCGGCACATAATGGTTTTAAACCAGAGCTAAGTGACACAGTGGATTAAATCACTGTCATTTATCTGAATGACGATTCCCGTTTGAAATGTCTGCAAGATCTTATAAAACTGATTTGGATGTTTTCTAACCAGTGACTGCAAAAGTCCCAGCACTCAAGTCAGCTCGTTATTTAAAATACCAGTGATAGTATTTGGTATACTGTTCAGTATGCCTGTATGCTTCTATTAAATCTAGAAAACTGGAATAGTTTAGTGCTCAGTGGGGAACGATGGTAGTGTTGTCTTCATGTTACTTGTTTCACAACCTCGATAATGCCATGGTTGTTTGAGATTTTATTCCAAACGCAGAAACGTGAAAACAAGTTTGTGTAAAAGTGAGTATTAACTTGCTTGTATTGCCAAGGGGACAGTTGGATTCACCGTGTTATTTAGGATATTGCTTCTCATCCAACCTGACCATAAACATGACCTCAGCCCAATGCCAATGCTATTGACTATCAGCTATTTGAGTGCTATTCTGGATACAAAAAAATTAAATAAAAACCAAAAGAGCTGCAGATGCTGTAAATCAGGAACAAAAACAAAGTTGCTGGAAAAGCTCAGCAGGTCTGGCAGCACCTGTGGAGGAGAAAACAGAGTTAACGTTTCGGGTCCGGTGACCCTTCCTCAGA